GGGGGGGCCCAGTTTGGGGTGCAGGGTCAGTCTGGGGTGCAGGGTCAGTTTGGGGTGCAGGGTCAGTTTGGGGTGCAGGGTCAGTCTGGGGGTGACACTCACTTGCACTCTCCTGGCGTGTGCTTGGCCTCGTCAGTGCAGCTGTAGAACTTGCCCTGGAGGGATCGGGGGGTCAGGGGCACCCTCAGCCCCCCGGGGGGGTGGGGACATTTCAGGGGGGGGCCCCCCCAGGGTCAGGGCCCCCACCTTGAAGAGCTGCACCCCGATGCAGGCGAACATGAACTGCAGCAGCGTCGTGACGATCATGATGTTCCCGATGGTGCGGATGGCCACGAACACGCACTGCACCACGTGCTGGGGACAGGGACAGGGACAGGGACAGGGGTGTCACCGGGGCAGGGGGACAGGGACAGGGACAGGGGTGTCACCGGGGCAGGGGGACAGGGACAGGGACAGGGGTGTCACCGGGGCAGGGGGACAGGGACAGGGACAGGGGTGTCACCGGGGCAGGGGGACAGGGACAGGGACAGGGGTGTCACCGGGGCAGGGGGACAGGGACAGGGACAGGGGTGTCACCGGGGCAGGGGGACAGGGACAGGGGAACAAGTGGGGCACGGAGGCCGCTGTGTGCTGGGGACACCTGTGACACTGCCCGGGGACATTGGGGTCACAGGGACAATGGGGACCCCTGCGCCACCAAGGCATGCTGGGGCCCCAGTGCTCCCAGTCCCACCAGTCCCTCCCAGTGCTCCCAGTGCCTCCCAGTTGCCCACCTTGAGGCCCTTGGCCCTGTTGATGGCTCTCAGCGGCCGCAGGACGCGCAGGACCCGCAGGATCTTCACCACTGAGATGGCGCTGGAGCTGCCAAGGGACACACCAGTGCTCCCAGTAACATCCCCAGTACCCCCCAGTGCCTCCAGCAGCACTTCCACTGTGTGCCAGGGTCCCCAGCAATGGCCCCAGTGCCATTCCTGTACCCTCCCAGTGCTCCCAGTGCTCCCAGTGCTCCCAGCTCACTGCATGCCGAAGGAGATGAGGGAGACGCCGACCACCAGCACGTCCAGGAGGTTGAACCAGTTGCGGAGGAAGGAGCCTTTGTGCAGGAAACCGCCGAACACCGTCATCTGTGGGAGAGTGTGAGCCCCAAACTGGGGAGCCCCTGTCCCTGGGAACCCCCAAACCCTGGGAACCCCCTCCCAAAACCCTGGGAACCCCCAAACCCCGGGAGCCCCCCACCCCAAACGCTGGAGACCCCCCTGTACCTTGAGCAGGATCTCCACGGTGAAGATGGAGGTGAAAGCGTAGTCGAAGTAGCCCAGGATCTGGAGGAGGGGGTGGGGAGGGGGGAACGGGGTGACCCCGACCCCTCTCAAACCCCCCCGACACCCCCAAGCTCCTGGACCCCCCCAAACACCCCCAGATTCCCCCCAACCCCTCCTTGCCCTTCTCAGCCCCCCCAGCTCCGGGTGAGCGGATCCCACGTCCCGCACGGTTATGGGGTGAATTCCCCCAGTGCCCCCAGTCCCTCCCAGTTTGCCCAGTGCGCCCAGTAGCCCACGTGGTTTCGGGGCGAGTGGGCGCGCACGGGGTCCTCTGCGGCCAGGGAGATGCTGCTGAGGATGATGAAGACGAGGATGAGGTTGGTGAAGATGTGGTGGTTGATCAGGGCGTGGCACTTCACCCGCAGCCTGCACCAAGCACACGTCAGCTCCCAGTGCTCCCAGTTCCCCCAGTTTGTGTCTCAGTCCCTCAGTGCTCCCAGTGCTCCCAATGCTCCCAGTTCCCCCAACCCTCCAGTTCTCCCAGCCCCTCCAGGCTTCCAGTCAGTGCCAGTGCCCCCAGTGCCCCCAGTTCCCCATTCCCAGTGCTCCCAGTGTTCCCAGTGCCCCCAGTGCCCCCAGTTCCCCGTGCTCCCAGTGTTCCCAGTGCCACTCACGGGTTGGTGCTGCTCAGCACGAAGAAGGCGCTGCCCTCGGGGATCGGGGTCACCTTGGGCTTGGGGGCCTCCTCCAGGGACTCCAGCCGGGCCCTCCCCAGGCTGTCCCGCTCCCCCCCGGCCTCCTCGTCACCTGCAAGGGTGACACACCCCGTGTGGCCACTGTCCCCTCCCCAGGGACCCCGTGTGGCCACTGTCCCCTCCCCAGGGACCCCACATGAGGGCACTGCCACCCCCCCCACTGTCCCCAATGTCCGGGCAGGTGACACTCACCTTCCTCCACCTCTTCCTCCTCCTCCTCCTCTTCCTCCTGCGGCTGATCCCCCTCAACCTGGGGAGGGGGAGGGATGAGGGCTGTGCACACCTGAGGGGGAGGGAGAGACCCCCCGGGACCCCCCGGGACCCCCCCTCACCTTCACAGCCACGTCCTGGCTCTCCGTCCCCGCCTCCGCCTCCCCGGCCTTGTCCCTGGGGTGGGGGAAAAGGGGGGCTCAGCCAGGGGGTCCCGGGGGTTGGGCACCCCCCTGGGGACCGGGGGGTTGGGGTTCCCCCCTCATCACCCCCGAAAGGGCCCCAGGGCTCTGGGCTCACTTTTTGTCCCCCCCCGAGTTGATGTTGTCACCGTCTGCCAGGTTGTCCACAGCGATGGCCAAGAAGACGTTGAGGAGGATGTCTGAGGGAAGGGAAGGGCTCACCAGTGCTCCCAGTATCCTCCCAGTATCCTCCCAGCATCTTCCCAGTATCCTCCCAGCATCTTCCCAGTGCCCCCACTCCCCCCTTCCCATTCCGAGCCCCCTCTGTCCCACCCCAGCTCCCCTGAGCTCCATTCCCAGCTCCCTGCTCCCAGTCCCTCTGCAACTCCCAGTGCTCCCAGTGCTCCCAGCGTCCCTCCCAGTGTCCCTCCCAGTGTCCCTCCCAGTTCCCCCCAGTCCCTCCCAGTGTCCCTCCCAGTTCCCCCCAGTCCCTCCCAGTGTCCCCAGCGCCCTCACAGTTCCCGCAGATGAAGAGGATGACGAAGTAGACGCAGACGAGCATCCCGGGGAACACGGGGCCGCCGTAGGCCATGATCCCATCGTACATCACCGCGTTCCAGTCCTCCCCCGTCAGGATCTGGGGGAGTTGGGGGTCCCCAAACACCGGGGGCACCCCAAAACCTCAGTGCCACCCCCACCAGTGCTCCCAGTACACCGCTGCCTCCCAGTTGTGAGCACGCGGCATCACCCCTGAGCGGCTGGTGATGGGTGGGGGGCTCATGATGGGTTTTGGGGTCCCCCTGAGGGGTCTCCCAGGTTTTGGGGTACCTGGAACACGGTGAGCAGGGCCTGCGGGAAGGTGTCGAAGGTGCTGCGCTTGGTCTGGGTCTCGTCGAAGCTGAAGCGGCCCCCGAAGAGCTGCATGCCCAGGAGGGCGAAGATGATGATGAAGAGGAAGAGCAGCAGCAGCAGGGAGGCGATGGATTTCATGGAGTTCAGCAGGGACCCCACCAGGTTGCTCAGCGACGCCCAGTGCCTGCGGGACACGAGGGTTACTGGGAGCACTGGGAGCACTGGGAAGGGGCCGGGCAGAGCCAGCACCCGGTGCTGGGGGGACATCGGATTGGGACATCACAGCGGTGGGGCATCGCTGCCTTGGGACAGCGGGGGGGCGTGGATTTGGGACATTGGGGTGTTGGGATGCTGCGGGGTTGGGACATCGTGGTTTGGGACATTGGGGTGTCGGGACATTGGGGTGTCGGGGCAGTGAGGCACGGGGACACTGGGGTGCTGGGGCACTGGAGAGCCGCTCTGGGTGTCGCGGTGCTGGCGCTGTCCCTCACCGGGTGACCTTGAAGACGCGCAGCAGGCGCACGCAGCGCAGCACGGAGATGCCGAGCGGCTCCATGGCCCCGCGCTCCACCAGCGCCGTCTCCAGCACGCCGCCGCACACCACGAAACAATCGAAGCGGTTGAAGAAGCTGGCGAAGTAGCAGGAGGGACCCAGCGCGTAGAGCTTCAGCACCATCTCGGCGGCGAACAGCGACAGCAGCGCCTTGTTCGCGTAGGCTGCGGGGACAGAGCGGGACAGAGCGGGACAGAGCGGGGACAGAGCGGGGACAGAGCGGGACAGAGCGGGGACAGCCGGGGACAGAGCGGGGACATCGGGGACAGAGCGGGACAGAGCGGGGACAGCACCGAGTCACCCCCGCGCCTGCACCGCGCTGGGGAAGCAGCGGGAGCAGGACGGGCCCCCGAGCTCTGGGGGTGTCGGGGGGCTCCGGCGGCTCCCGGGGGCCGTACCCTGTGTCTCGGTGAGCCAGGGCGGCTGCCCGTGGTGCTCGGAGGCGATGGTCAGCGTGTTGAGGAACACGAGCAGCAGCACGGTCCAGTAGAACGACACCGATTTCACGGCAGCGCGGCAGCGCCGGCGCCACAGGCGGTTCAGGCGGCGCAGGCGGCGACTGGGGTTGGGGACAAGGTGGGGTTTGGGGGTTTGGGGGGGGTTTGGAGGGCAGAAGGGGTGACAGACCCCCCCCGACACGAGGGAGGAGGTGAACGGTGTTCGGGTTGGGGAAATCAGGGGTCACACACAATCCCAGAGTCACGGGGCTGGAAGAGACCCCCAAGGCCACCGAGTCCAGCCCAGCCCCGGCACCTCCGCCCCGTCCGGTCCCTTCTGAGCTCCCCCAGGGACGGTGACTCCGGCACCTCCCCGGGCACGGCCAGCCCAGCTCCTCACCCTGAAACGCCTTTTCCTGACACCCAACCGAAATTCCCCTGGAGCAGGGAGGGACAAAGGGGGGGAATTTGGGGTAGAGGAGGTCGAGGGGGTGTTTTGGGGGACATGGAGGAATTTAGGGTGATGGGAGGGGGCAGAGGACAGTGGGATTTTGGGGACAGAGGGGAGGTGGGATTGGGAGGCCTCACTCTGCCCCCCCCTTTCTTTCCACCCCTCCAATTCTCCCCACTCACCAGAATTTTGTCTTTGTAATTTTGCCCCTGGGGAGAGAAAAGCAGAGTTACCCCAAAATCTGGGGATTCTGGGGGAGACCCTTGGCCATGAGGGATCTCTGGGGAGGCTCTATAGGGCTGCTGGGGTCAGTTTTGGGGTCCTGGGGGGAGTACGGGGGTCCATGGGGCTCTGGAGGGGTCCCAGAGAGCTTTGAGGTGCTGTGGGGGTCAGTTCTGGGGTCTCAGGGGGGCATCTGGGGGCTGTGAGTGGCACTGGGGGGACATTGGGGCATGGGAGGGTCCCAAATCGTTCTGAGGTGCTGTACGTGCCGGGTGTGGGGTCCTAGAGGGGTCCCAGGGATCTGTGGGGTGTCACAGGGATGTGGGGCTGGGGCCTGGGGGGATCCTGGCAGGTTTGGGGGTCCCGTGTCCCCCCAGGGCTCACAGGCAGCGGTCGCAGGCGGTCGGCGGCGCCTCCTCCTCCCCCACGGTCTCCGTGTTCACCGAGGTGGTCTCGCTGCCGGGGAGGCTGGCTGGGGGGCTGGGGTCAGCCTGGGGGGCGTGGGGGGCCGGCCCCGGGGGTTTGGGGTGTTCAGCCCCGGGGGTTTGGGGTGTCTGACCCCAGGGGTTTGGGGTGTCTGACCCCGGGGGTTTGGGGTGTTCAGCCCCGGGGGTTTGGGGTGTTCAGCCCCGGGGGTTTGGGGTGTCTGACCCCGGGGTTTGGGGTGTCTGACCCCAGGGGTTTGGGGTGTTCAGCCCCGGGGGTTTGGGGTGCCCCGGGGGTACCGTGGGTGTCGGTGGAGTGACTCGCGTGGCGCAGCCACTTCAGCCGCGGCTTCCGCTTCCCCATCAGGTCCTCAGCAGTCAGGCCTGTGGGAAGGGAGGGTCACGGAGGTTTGGGGGGCTCAGGGTTTGGGGGGCCCCTGTAACTGCCCCTGAGCCCCACTCACGGTGCTTCTCGTGCTCCCCCTCTTCCTCGTCACCCTCCAGCTCGGCCTGGGTGATCCAGTCCATGTAGCCCCGCAGATCCTCCTCCAGCTGCTGCTTCTCCCGCAGCTTCTGGAAATCCCCGCGGGCCTTGGCCTTCTCTCGCTCCTTGGAGAATTCCCTGGGGAGGGGGGACAGGAGTGACCCCAAACACACCGGGGACACGGCCCCACTGCCGACCCCACTGCCGACCCCACTGCTGACCCCACTGCTGACCCCACTGCTGACCCCACTGCTGACCCCACGTGCTGACCCCATGTGCCGACCCCACTGCCGGCTCCTCACCCGCTCAGCACCCCCAGCACCAGGTTGAGGACGAAGAAGGAGCCGAAGATGACGAGGCTGACGAAGTAAATCCAGGGCAGCTCGTGGCCCATCGCGTCCTGCATCTGTGGGGGGAGATTTGGGGTGATGGGGGGGCCTGGGGGACCCCAAATCCCTCCTCAGGCGAGGCCAGTGACACCCAGGAGAGAGGTTTGGGGCTCTGCCCTGGCCCTGGGGGGGTTTGGGGAGGGTTTGGGGGGCTCAGGGAGGGGTTGTGGGGTCTCACCCAGTAGAGCACGTCGGTCCAGCCCTCCATGGTGATGCACTGGAACACGGTGAGCATGGCGAAGAAGAAGTTGTCGAAGTTGGTGATGCCGCCGTTGGGCCCCTCCCAGCGGCCGCGGCACTCGGTGTTGTTCTGCAGGCAGGCGCGGCCGTGGCCCGAGAAGGCGCAGGGAGAGGGGTCATCCTCCGACTCCAGGTCTGGGGACAGGCGACAGCGGATCCTGGTGGCAGCTCCCGGCGGGGGCGCTGCCTCTGCTGCCCTCACACAGCTCGGCCTGGCCCCGAAGGGAACTCCTGTCCCTGAGGGGAACTCAGCCGACAATTCCTGTCCTGTCCCTGCCGACAATTCCTGTCCCTGCCGACAATTCCTGTCCTGTCCCCGCCGACAATTCCTGTCCTGTCCCTGCCGCCAATTCCTGTCCCTGCCGACAATTCCTGTCCCTGCCGACAATTCCTGTCCTGT